CCCAGGCCCTGCGGGAGGGGCCCGACTCCCCCAGGGCCATGTGCCCGGTGCCCTGCAGTCGGACACTCTCCGTGTGCCAAGCTCCGCCCACGCGGGCACCTCCCAGGGCTCTCATCTCCGCCTCGGGGCTCGGCTGTGAAGACCCTGCTCATCCTTCTGTCCAGCAATTCTCTGAAGCCCCCACCCGCCCTGCGAGGCTGGCCTGGACCAGGTGACTGCCTGTCCTCTGGCGGTTCGCTCCTGCGATCGCTTCTCCTGGGAAGCCCGCTGCAGATAACACCGGCCTGGAACACATCTCAGAAGTCCACTTATTGGCACTCTGAGAATTTTCTCTTTAAAAAACCCAAATAGTTGGATTTAAAATTAAAATATGAAAAGTGCTTTATTTTAAAGCAGGAAAATTGCATCGTCGGGAAGGAGGTTGATTTCTACATCTGGTTAAGTGTCACCCTGGCTTTGATGGTGACAGTCTTGTTGTCCTGTGTCTCGCTGTGGAAGGATCTGCTGGCTCCTGTTCAGACCTAGCGGAGCGGCCGTGTCTGGGAGAAGCCTCCGCAACGCACGCGCCCTCGGGCCCCGGGCGGTTGGTGCCCATGGTGGTCTGCTACATGGGTGGGCACATCTGGGAGTGGTGCCACAGGCCCCCTGGGTGGCCAGAAGGGCGGGTGCTCTCATGTGTCGATCACTGTCACCAGAACCGCCTGAGCCACGGGAGCAGGGCCGTGTCTCAGCCTGTCAGAGCTCGGAGCTGTCAGCCGTGGCAGCTGCCGCCTCTCACCCCATGCGCCGCCGCCGCCTGCAGAGCGTGGCCTGGTCTGCGCGTCTGTCTTCTGTCAGGCGCACACAGCAGGAAAGCTGGTGTCTGCTCGTGCACACATGTGCACACGACACACACGTGCCTGCACCCATCCTGGAACCCCCCACCCGCCCCATGCAACCTGTGCTGGGACTCAGGACCCGCACAGGTTCAGACGAGCCCCTGCTCAGTGGGAAGCTGGGAGTCGCCGTCCCTCTCACTGCCCTCCCAACCTCTCTGTTTGATACCCCTGTTGCTCCATCTCTGGTGACAAGAGTCTAATTGTTACTGGCCTTGCTTTCGATGAAGGGAGAAGAGGGCATTCGGCATCACGCCGGTGAGGGGCTCCTGTCAGTGCAAAGGGTGGGCTGGTGGGCAGGTACTGCAGAGCCGGCCAGGACCCCAGACAGCCGGGTGGGTGCGGACAGGTGGGCACTGTTGCTGGAATGTAGAAGGAGTGGAGGAGGAGGGAGGGCTGAGGGGTTGGCAGGTAGCCCTGAGGGGTTGGCCCTGGAAGTGACTGAGTGACTCACCTGACATGGAACTGCTGACCCTGTCGCTGAGGTCAGAGGTCTGGCCATCCTAGACAGTTCCCTTCTGCAAGCTGATCCCTTTTCATAAGCACGTTTGTGTCTGCAGCCATCCCTGGCCCTTCTTCCCCCTCATGCCGCCACTGCTCCCTGGTCCAGGGGTCTTTCTCCTGTGGCCCCTGAGCAGAGCTTCCACGGAGCACCTGGCTCTCACCCCGTCCCCTCAGGGTGCTGCCCATGCCGAAATCCGGATGGGTCCCTCAGAGGCTTACGGGTTCCAGCTATGCCTGAGTCACCACCCCATGCCCCCGCCCTGAGACTCACAGAGTGACTGGCAGGTCCTCTGCCTGTAACGCCCTTCTGCCCTGAGTCCAGCGAGGTCACTGCCCACCTTCACAACACCTCCAGGAAGCCCTCCTGGAGCCCAGGGGCTGGGATGGCTCCTAAATCTGTGCTCCACTATGACCGAGTGGAACGTACATGCGCTCGGGTCCTGGGCAGTTGGTGCCCGTTGGTGGCAGTGATCTGTTTCCGTGTCTTTACCTGGCTTGTCCATGAGCTTCTGAGGACGGTGTCGGGTCTCACTCATCTCGGTGCCCTCGTCCTCAGCGCAGGCTCTTGCAGGTGGGAGGTGCCCAGCGCGCACTGGTCATAGAAGGGGCTCACGAGGGAATGGGTGGGTGCGTTGCTCACGGAAGGCTGAGACGCTGGCAGACAGACCAGTGCAGTCAGCTGGAGATCCCTGGAGGAGGAGTGGTGACCTGGAGGCGCTTTCCAAGTGCAGGGCCCTGTCTGAGATCGGGGCTGGAACCTATCTGTCTTCACTGCCTTTCCCCCCTCCCTGGGGGATAGGTAAACATAAGTCTGAATTAGACATGTGCTGTCGCCCTGCCTGCCTGTCTACCTGTTTGTCCATCTGTCCATCCTTCACGCCCTCCTCCACCCACCCACCCGTCCATCTGTCCTTTCATCCAGTATTTATCGAGCGTCTGCTCAGGATCAGGCACACTGCTAAATCCCCAGAGCCTAAACTTTTAGGGCCAACCAGGACAGGACTCTGGGGCTCTTAGATGCCAAAGCTCCATGTTTCTCCTTGTTCCTTGTCTCCCCTCGAGATAGGTTTGGAGAGCTGGGGAGACAGAGAGGATGGCCCGGCAGGGTGGGACAGAGTGCAGACCCTGCCTCACTGAGTGGCCTCCAGATACTGATTTCCTCCCCAACTGGGGAGGAAAACCCACATGGAAGGGAAGCCAGGGCTAATCTGTGCTGTCAGGACCAGATGTGGGTGGAAGATGGGCATCGTTGGAATCCTGGGTGGCTACTCCAGAGACTTCACCATGTTTGTGCTCTCTTCCTTTGTTCTGCAGACAAGTCTCTTTCTGTGCTTCCTGTGGTTTCTGGTCAGTGGGAAGCCTCTCGCCCCCAGCTCCATCCCATGGGGCCTGTAGGCTGAGTGGGACGCGAGTTTGGTCCCAGGAGCCTGTTCCTGCACAGGGCAGTGGCGATGTGGTGTGATGCTGCTGGCAGGGGCTGCAGAGCGGCCTCAGCCTGCCCTCCCTGGGCACTGTAGTTGGGTAGGGGGCAGTTCTGTGCCCTTCCCTACTGCGGTCCCTGCTGGATCTGGGAGCAAGGGCCAAGGGAAAGGAGGCACCGGGGCAAAACGGTGGTTCCCAGCCCTGACTGATCCTGACTTCCACAGGGGAGCAAACACAGCTTCCTCGGGTTTGTGAGCCTGCCCCAAGGGCCATGGCCTGCCCGGTGCCCACTTTAAGGGGTTGTGAGAGCCAGGCAGGCTCTGCTTGTTCAGTGAGAGTGAGGGGAAGACGTCCGAGGAAAAGCAGTAGAGCCCTGACTCCTCCAGGTGTGAGGGAGGCTGAGGGAGCAGAGGCTAAGGTTCTGGAAAGCACTTGCTGTCAGGATGGGGAGCCTGGGCTCCCTCTGCCTCGCCCCAGCGCCCCAGGCAGGGCCTGCAGGTCGTACAGAACAGAGGCATGTCCCTGGCGGCCTGTGCTAGGGTGGGGAGGGTACAGGGGCCGAGCAGATGGGCCTTCCTGGCATCGTCCCTGCAGCTGTGTCTCTGCCAACCATCACACCTTTGGCACAGGCCACATTCCTGCTCCCAGAGAACAACAGGATCGATCCTGGTGTCCCTGCAACATCCCATATCACCTGGCTTGTGGGACACTTGTAGGGGGCAAGAGGATAGGATCATAAGTGTGACCACCCTCGTTCCAGTCCCAGCCTGCTTGCCCTCCCTGAGTGGCCTTGGGCAGACACTCAGCTTTCCTGAACCACTGTTTCCTCATCCTGCGAATGGGCCCTGCGGAGATCTCCCACCAGGACTGGGCTCTGAGCTCGGAGGGGTGCTCCGACCTGCGGCCTCCCAGCAGGGTGCCTTCCCAGCGGCTGTCATAGCTCCTCTCCTCCCCATCGCAGCTCCTCCATGGTGACCGTGGAGGGCCCTGCACCTCCAGCACCAAGGCCACCCTGCTATTTTTATCCCCCACTGGTTAATCTGTAGCCTTGCGTAGGCCCTGGCCAGCCTCTTGGAGCAGTTTTGCCACGTAGTGTTGCACTCAGATGGTGACCTCAGTCCAGTGGAACTGCCCGCCAGGCAGACTGGCTCATGGAATTCCGGTTTCCCGTAAAGAGCGTATTCTTGTAATTCGCAGGAACTCTAAAATGGCTAACGTAGGCATCAGCAGTAGGGATTGGGTCAACTTGTTAACATAAAACCCAGTTTATTTATTTGTCGGTGGCGTCGCTTACAGTGACGTGCACAGATCATGAGCATTCAGCTCCGTGACTATTTACACGCCCGCTTTGTAGCCACCTCCTGAACTGAAAAATAAAGTATCCCATGACCTAGAACCTTCCCTCGTGCCCCCGCCCAGTTCCCCACAGCAGGGTCTGGCCTCGAGCAGGACCTCCTCTGCCGGTCAGCAAGCCAGGGTGGCTGGATCTGGGGTGGCAGAGCCCAGTGGGGCTGAGTCCCCGAGGGGCTTCCCGCAGGAGGGAGCTGCTCCATGACCCTGAAGTATGTGCTAGAACTGTGCTGGTTACGCCATTCAAGGCAAACAAAAGGACACTCACCAAGGCCCCAGCCCTGAGGCGTGTGGCCTCAGACTGCGTCCCTCGTGTCCGAGTGGCTGTGGAGCGCGCTTCTCTGGGCCTTCCCCCAAGTGCCGGCCCAGGCGGCCGCCTCCACCCTGAGCAGGGTCTTGGGCCTGTGCTACACAGCAGCCCCGAGGCCTGAGTGGGCCTGAGGGGCTGGGGTTGTCTGGCAGCCAGCGACTAGGCCAGGTGACCACCTGCTCCTCCTGTCTGGCATCATTTCCCAGGCACGGAGCACGGCCACCTGCAGTGGTGGGGGTCTCACTGCCCCATGGCGGGGTCACTGGGAAAGCTGCCTCCTCTCAGCTCCCTCCGCTGGCCTGGTTTCTTCCCCGGGGGAGAGAGACCTGTTCTTCCCTTTACCTGGTGTCAGGCTGTTAGAGTTTCTAGAACAACTTTGGGTGGTGCACCCACGTGGACTGCCATGGCGGGCCACTTCAGGCCTTCCTGAGGCCCCTCCTGGCCTGGTCTTCTCTGGCCCTTCTCTGGCTCCAGCAGGCTTCCGGCAGGGCCCAGCCCTGTGTGGGTCTTCACCTTGTATTTTGTCTGTGATTCCTCAGCTCCAAGAAGCCCAAGCCACAGCCTAAAGTGGCCATGAAGCCCAGGCCCTCTCCGCGGCTCACCATCTTCGACGAGGAGGTGGACCCTGACGAGAGGCTCTTTGGCCCGGACAGGAAGCTCTCCCCGCAGGGCCCTGCACAGGATGCGCCTCCCACAGACCGTAAGTGGGGCCTCAGGGTGTGAGCCCCCTGTTCCTGGTGTCCTCTTGGCGGCCAGCCTATGTCACTGAGTGGGCTTTGGACCCACCGTGTGTGAATAGGGCACACGTCTTCCCCTTATCCTGCTTAAGCGTGATACAGACTCAGGTTACGGAGGTTTTCTGCAGGAGAAATCCAGCCCCATGCTTGGTCCCCACAGTCTGGAACATTCTCTGCCTGTGTGTTTATTCTGAACATCCCACAGAAAAGGAGGATGGCGTTCCTTGTTTTGAGAAGTGCCTTCCTTGTATCTGTGGCCAGATGTGGGTCCTGGGCCCTCCAGGCACCGTTGGGCGGGAAGTGGGTGCTGGCCTGCCTTGGGCTGCGTGCGTCTCTGTAGCTTAGATGCTAGCAAGGGAGTTTGTGTCGTCTGCATAGACCGCCCTGGAGGGCCCTGTGCAGAGGCGGCAACGGGACACTTGGGAGCCTTGGGACTTCTCCTCCGTGCCTGGGTCCGACCTTCCCTCACGCCTGCCCAGGTCCTCCCTGGGGGGAGTTGCTGCTACCCACTAATTCAGCCAACATGTGCTGAGCAACTCCCAGGGCCAGGCCCAAGGACGTGCTGAGGAGTCCCCGTCTGCAGGGCCTTAGAGTAGCCTAAGTCTGTGGCGGGGCTGAGCAGAAGCAGCAGCTCCTATGGACTCGTGGGAAGACCCTGGGTGGGGTCGTTGGCTGCACTTGATTTGGATCCTGGAAGGTCAGCTGGAGTTTGCCAGGCCAGCTCCAGAAATGTATCCATCTCAGAAACAGAGGCCACCATGTGTCCTCAAAGGCAGCCTTGCACAGTTCAGCCAGCAGAGCCTGTGGGGAGGAGACCCAGGCTCCCTGAGGGCGGTGGCTGTGGCCAGAGCAGTGTCTGCTCGCCACTGTGTCCCAGCACAGTGTGGCCCTGTCCGGTGGACAGCGCTCAGTAAGTGCTTGTTGAAGGATGGGGCAGCCATGGGGAGCGAGCTAGGAGATCCAGCTGGCCGGGACCTCAGGAGCCTGGTGCAGCAAACACAAACAGCTGAGACCTCCTAAAGGCAGTGGGAAGCCCACGAGGACGTGAAACTGAGGGAGGCCGTCAGCTGACTGGCCCAGGTGCTGGGAGGGTGAGGCTGCGACAGACCCCTCCTGACCTAGGCCATCAGTGAGCTCCTGTCCTCTTGCCTTCCTCCTGCCCCTACCTGCTCCCGCTGCTCTGGTTCTCTGCTTGTCCCTTGTATGCTCTCCTGGGTGTGCGGGAGGCTGGGCCAGGCCTTCCTCACCCGCACCCCAGGCAGCTGAGCAGGCCAGGACGTCCTCTGACCACCTGCTGCCTTCTTTCCTGCAGCCCTGAAGCTGTTTGACGATCCTGACCTTGGTGGCGCCGTCCCCCTGGGAGACTCCTTGCTGCTGCTGCCAGCCCCCCGTGAGAGTGGAGGGCCCACCTCCAGCTCGGGCCGCAGGGACACCTCCGAGGAGCTGTTCAGGTACCGCCTGTCCCCAGCAGCACTTCCCTGGCTCTGAGAGTGGCCTGGACGGGGCCAGGGGCCCACCCCGTGTGGCGGCGATTCCCTCGGAGGGGAGGAACCCACCCTGGGTCAGAGGCAGGGCCTGTGGGTGCGAGCTGGCCGGGGGTGGTGAGGGGGCCGGGGGTGGTGAGGGGTTCGGGGGAGACCGGCAGCCCGGGGCAGCTCAGCTGTTCCAGAAAGAGAGCACTTATGTGCACAACCAGCCGTTTTCATGCTTGCACTTGAGCAGTTTATGTAAGGAATGATTAAATTATATAATCAACAGAGCAGGTATGACTGGCACAGTTGGGTTTGGGAACAAGTGAAACTGCCTCTTGGTAGCGAGCAGCCTGCGGGGAGCAGGCGCAGGTGTCCTGGGCGCCGGCCGGTCTCCAGCAGGTCCAGTCGTCAGGCTTTACGGAAGGGAGGGGCCCGAGGCCCCATCCGTCACACGGACCGTGCACAAGCGACAGCTCCTATTTCCGAGCGCTTGCTGCGTGCCACTTAGCTAGCCCGCTTGCACGCCGTCTCATTTAATCCTCACAACAGCCCCCTAAGGTAGGTGCTATTTTCTCCATTTTACAGAAAATGGAGCGTGGGAGAGGTCGCCACTCCATCGGGGACTCTCTGAGCACTTGGCTGTGCTGTCTGCCTGCCCACCCCGGCCCTGGCTCTCCCTGGGCCTCTGCTCCGCCAGCCACGGTCCCTCGAGCCTGGCGTTGTGCCTTTCCCCGTCTCCTCCTCACCCCGGCACACAGGGCTTGCTCTGTGATTCACGGAAACCAAGCTGCCTCTTTCCAGGAACCGTTTGTGCAGCACTGATGCGTGCGGTCCCTGGAGGCTGTCATCCGCACCCCTCGTTAGCGGCCTCGGGCTGTCGGCCCTCCGGGTGCCCGCCAAGCCTGAGTCACCGTGACGGCTTCTTGTGTTTACATCTCCCCGAGGCCCCTGGCATCTGCTCACTCGCGTCCTGCGGCCTCTCTCCTGACATCCCAGCAGGCTGGGAGGAAACCAGGGTTATTGTTATTTCATTAGTGGGGAAACCAAGGCACGGGGCTGCAGAGCACTAGAGTCAGCCCGGGGAGTGGCAGGCCCAGACCAAGCACATGTAGGAGCCCGTGTGTCCCGTGGGGTCACCTCTCCTGGGGCCTTTCTGGCCTAGTTTGTCCTAAATCCATTACCTCCCACCCCACGTTCCGCAGAACCTGGTACAGGGCGGGTTACAGGCGTCCTTCAAAGGGCCTGTGCGCCAGAGGAGCCAGGGAAATCCCGCGTCGGCAGGCCTGCGGTGCGGGCAGACGCCACGCAGCACTTCTCGTTCTTACTGGTCCCAGGCCCTTCCCTGTGTGCTGCCGCTCAGCATCCCACAGAGCACTCTGGGGGTCGCTGCCCAGAGTGTGAGGGCTGTGTCGTCCCCTCACAGGTGGGGGGCGGAGGCCTTCCCTTCGGCAGACGTCTGCGGGACAGGATTAGCTTCCTGAGGGCAGGAACTACGCTTTGTGCTTTGTGTCTGCCCTGTGACCAGGCAGTCATCGGGCTTCCTTGTAGTAATGGAGGCCGTTCATTCATTCATTCATCTTTCCACCCTCCGTTCAGCCCGTCTCTGGCCTCAGCTGTCCGAGGCAGCATGAGGCTGTACACCAAGCAGGGTTTGGAGTCTGGAAGTCTCCATCTCCGGCTGTGCGCACCCCATGGCCGGGCCTCCGGTTTGGGTCTTCAGCTGGGTTCTGTGCTCTGAGGGGCCGGGCAGTAGGGTGGGGTCTGCGGGGCTCCTGTGCCCCTGCTGGCTCCCCTCAACCAGCTGGGGCTGGACGAGAGGGGAGCTGGACCCCGCGCTGGTGAGACCCCTTCCTAGCCTCGACTCAGGGAGCCCAAACGGAGAGAGGGTGCTTGGAAAGGAGGTGCCTGTGCAGCTACCTACGCCCTGAGAGCTGCTGCACTGACTTCCCCGGGGCTGGCCACCCACACGCACCTCCCACCTCGGAGCAAACCCAGCTGCTGATTAGTTCCAAAGAGTCACTGCTTTGCCAAGCAGGATAATCCCGAAATCTGACATGAGCTTTTAGCTGCTGCTTATGTTTCCAAGGGCCCCTATTTGAGGATAATTCAGTCCCTTTGAGCTTTCCCCGGGCACCCTCAGCCTCCAGTGGAGGACTCGGGGGGAGCCAGCACCTGCCCCAGGGCAGTCGAGGAAGGGCTAGCACTGGAAGGAGCCAGGGCACATCTGGGCTGAGGTCACCAGGAGCAGCCAGTCCATGGGTGAGGCCCCCCAAAATCGCCTTGACCCCAAGGTGGCCTCTGTCTCCAGGAAGGCCTGGCTTGGTCTGGTCCCTCTGGGTCTGGAAGGGAAGGACACCTTTCATTCACTTTTGTGCCCAGCAGACTCTGAACCCTCCTTCTTTGGGGTCAGTGCTGTATTACAGGTAGACCCAGGAAGCAGGGAGGGCCACCCCGAGCCCATCCTGTTTATTCTTCCCTCAAACTTGGTTCGGATGAGGGCTCAGCTTCTGAGGGCGACATCCTGGTTCCTTCTGACTCAGTCACAGCCACGTACTGTCCTCTCAGGGCCACTTGGTGTCCGGAGACTCCAGCTTCCCCATCTGCTAGGTGGGAAACAGCTGTGCCTCCCGGAGGGTGTTCTGAGGATGAAATAAGATAACGTGTCTAAGAGGGAGGGCGGGAGGAAAAGTGATAATCTGTCTGAAGTGCTCGGGCAGAGGGGGGCTCTGGACACAGTGGCTGGCAGTTCTTTCTAGAGGGGTTGGAGGGAAAGCCCTGAAGAAGGCAGCGTGTTTAGAGTGGGGTCGCCTAGAGAGTGGCTCTCAGGAGCTGCGAGGGGCTGTGCCCCCACTGTGCTGTGGCATTGGAGGACAGGAGAGCCTTGGCCTTTGGGGTCTCTGGGACAGGACGGTGGACAGGCCAGGGTAAGAGAGGCCTTGGAGGGGGGGAGGTCTTGTTCCTTTTGTGGGGAAGGGCTGTGCTCAGGGCTCCTCTCTTTGGTTCCCTAGAGTTGAAGAGGACTTGGACCAGATTCTGAACCTGGGGGCTGAGCCCAAACCCAAGCCACAGCCTAAGCCCAAGCCACCAGTGGCAGCTAAGCCAGTGCTACCCAGAAAACCAGCTGTTCCCCCCAAAGCGGGCCCATCTGAAGCGGGGGCTGGGCAGCAGAAACCGCAGCAGCAGATCCAAGCCATGGACGAGATGGACATCTTGCAGTACATCCGGGACCATGACACACCTGCCCAGGCCGCCCCCAGCCTCTTCTGACCCGCCCCGAGTGCTGGCTCTGGCCCAGCAGGCCCCCTGTGGAGGCATGGGTGGGTGGGCAGGAGGGACATGGGGCCCTGTGGGGCCAGGACCTCCACTGCCAAGGGAGGCAGGGTGGAACCCTGGGTCACAGGACCCACGACTGCGTTTTTCCCTTTTCTCCTGGGCTGTGGAACCCCTGCAGGCTGCAAAGAGTGGAGGTCATCTTAGGAATTCGAGCCCCGGTTACCTCAGTCCCTGTGGCTATGGAGGAGAGCAAGTGTGGGGGTGCCTTGCCAACCAGGAGCCCAGCCCCAAGGATAGGTGGGGGCCCCAGGGAGGTGTCACATGGGCCAGGAATCTTTGTGCCCTCTGACTCTGCCAGCCCCAGCACAGGAGGGGGCCTGGCTGGCCTGGGCTGAGGAGTGCCCATGCCAGACCTCCCCAGAGTCTCTGCAGGTGCTGGGTGGGTCTCCCCCAAGCCAGGTATTGAGCAGGGAGGGCCCGTCCGTCTTGGGTGTTCTGACACGAGCCTGTCCTGAGCCTCCTCTGGTTACCAGCCCTGACAGGAGAAGTCAGGCCCAGCTCTGCCTCTCTGGGGTATGGAAGGCCCTGCCTTTTCCTTTCCCAGGAAAGGCCGGGCCAGCCATTGCCTACTCGGGCCTCAGGGCACAGAGCATCCACCACGGCAGCTCTCAGCAAGTGGGTCATTGCGCCCCACAGCTCTGCCTGGGGCGTGGGCTGGGCTTCCAGCTGCCACCGCCTCCCACCCGGGGGCATGATGCTCTGGGGTTTATGCTCAGAGGCCCTCACTGTCCTCAGGGTCTGGACCTGATCTGTGGCCTTTCAGCGGCAGAGTCACCTTTCCCAGGGAGCAGGAGCGAGTGCCAGGTAGGGCCAGTGCCTTAGACGTCTCCCGACTCCCAGAGCCCTCCTGGCACGCAGGTCTGGGCACCATGAAGTGCTCAGGGAATTCTCTGCAGACGACTGATGTTTAATGGAGCAAAGAATGTCAGGATGTCTGGAGATATCCTTCATGTTAGAGCTGGTTTTAAAGGAAATGCAACCACTGTTGTTCTTTGGCCCCGTCTTACCTGGCAGAGGCCTTGGAGGGGCTGAGACTGGGACCTCAGACCCTTTTCCAATGGGGGCACCAAGAGCCAATCCTGGGGGCCCCAGTTGACACTGGGTTTTTGCAACTGTCAGCGTCTAGTCCCCCCAGCTCCTACCCTGTGCCAGGACCTGTCTGCTCTGTCCTGCATCTTACCATGTCCCCTACCAGCTCCTAGTCCTGCACGGGCCCCTGCCCTCCCCTCCATCTGTGCCAGAGTGAGAGGGAACAGGTGGTTCTGGGGCAGAGAGCTGAGTTCCTCCTCCTCTGCCCTAGCCAGGCTTCATAGCCGCTGCCTGCTACCCAGCCTCGGGCCCTGCACCCCATCCTGACGGCAGAGGGGGCCTCAGGAGGCAAGGTGAGGGGCCGAGTCTCCTTTGGGGTCTTTCCCTGCCGTCTCCTCTACATCTGCCAGCTTTGGATAACAGGGCAGAGGGTGCAACAGGGCAGGGTGGCCATGGGGCTGGTCCTCTGGCTGGGGTCCTGGCCTGCCACACTGGTGGGGACTCAGTGCCTGGGGACCGGCCTCCTCCGTGGCCTGGAATTCTCTAGACACTCGATGGAGGTTTGTGTTTCTTCAGATACTGATGCTCTAGTCGTGGCTTGTTGGAACTGCAGGTCTGTGATCTACTGGCCAATCAATGACAGTCGTCATCCAATAAAGCCTGTGTCCCTGCCTCATTCCAGCGTTTGTCAGTGATGTTCTTCTCTGGGCCTGGGCTGATGGGAGGTGACGGGGGACAGGGGATGCAGGGGATTGTCCTTTGAAACGATGGATTCAACCCAGGCCTGTGGAGGCTCTGCCCGGGCCACCCAGGCTGCTGCTGAGTGGGGTGGGGCAAGGGGAAAGGGAGGACTGTGGGTGTTCTTTCCCATTGTGTAAACTGAGGCAGAGGGGCTGGAGACCCAGGCTCAGTGGGGTCAGCGGGCCAGTAACTGCTCAGCCAAGATCTGGGTGGAGGGAGGACCCTAACCCTCTCCAGGCCTCGCCTCCTGGCTCCCCACAGTGGGGACTGATCCGGGCTTGGGCTGGCCCGAAGCCATTTCTGCTCTGACATTAGGGCCCTGCCCATCTGCAACCAAGCCTGTCCTGCCTTCACACCTGCCAGGGGTCAGGGTCCCAGATGCTGCTTCAGCCCTGGGACGCAGAGATTCCGATGCAGACAGTTCTGCAAACTGACACCCACTTGGGGACTAGAACCTGCTTCCCAGGGAGCCAGGGCAGCCTCGCAGCCCCTCCTCCCCCATGACTAGGGTTTGGATCTCGTAGCCAAGGTGGAATTGGCATCTTAGCTCCCGAGAGCAAGCAGTTGGGCCATTCTGAGAAGGTCTGCTCAGCCCAGGGGCCTGCAGCTGAGAGTTTGCCGTGGAGGGGAAGCAGGTTTAATTTGGGACAGTGACTTCTGTTTATTTGCAAGCCTGCTGTGAGCCCAGGACAGGATGTGCCGTCTGTGGCTGGGGTCCCCTTGTTCCCTTCCTTTGGGTATTGTTCCTCTCAGGAAGCCATAAACTCCAGCTGTTTCTCCTGGAAAGTCCCAGAACTAGAGCCTGTCCTGGCCAGGCCCGTGTCATGGGCTCCTCGGGAGAGCACCCACCCGTTGAGCTTTGACATCCCGTGACCATGCCTGCAACTCTGCTCGCCCTACGCGCTCAGGGGGCTGCCCTGAGGCTCAGGCCCTCACACCAGACAGGGGCAAGACTGCAAAGCCTGGCCCCTCTCCAGGTCCCCGTGGCCTTACTGCCCAGCGACCACCTGAGCGTTGTGTGGACATTCTCTGTCAGGCTGACGTGGAGAGTCGTGCTCAGTTCTCTAGCTCGCCAGCTGTGCAGCTGGGCGAATCCTGGGGAAGAGAGGAGGGCAGCCTGGCTGGTGGCCCTGGCTGGGTGGCAGGCACCCGCTGCTGGCAGCTTCCTGTGGCTTAATGGCTGCACAGTCAACTCCCAGTGCCTCGTCAAGGATCTGAGCTTTGGGTGTCAGACTCAGGATGGTTCTGTGCCCTGCAAACTCTGGTGGCTTCAAAGCATTCCCTGCACAGGGCTCCAAGGTCTTGTAGCTGGGGAAGCTGACCGAGGGGTCAGAGGGGAGAGGTGGGGACTGACCCTTGGGGTCTCAGGTAGCCCACAGCAGCCTGTGAGGCAGTGCCCGGGCTCTGTCCAGCTCAGCCAGGTGACATGCCCTCATCCCGCAGTGCCAAAAGAAGAGATTTGCCCGGGGTCGTGTTGAGGGGCCAGGTAGACTGTAAAGTCCGATTTGTGCTTGAAGGAGTTGCAGTGGACTGGTCACACTAGCTCCTCACAAAAGGACCCCTGCCCAGGACTAGCTAATAGAAAGTGGCAGGCTGCTGGGTGGGCGGTCAGAAGGCCTGTGGACTTTAGCTCAGCTGGGCCTCCAGCCCCGGCATGGCCGTTGCCTGCCACGCCAGGTGCGGTGCTGCCCCCGTGCCTGGCCTCGAGCGCCTGTGTTCCAGGGCTCTGGCCACCGGAGAAAGCCAAGGGATTTCACTTCTCGGGCCATGCTTAGGATAAAGCCGCAGCTTCTGGAGCGGGATTATGGGCTCAGCACACGGCCTCGGTAAGCAGGATCGCTATTGACAACTTTCAGGGGCCTGATGCTTCTCTGCCGACTCAGCAAACAGCAGCTGCTGCTGAATGGCTCTGAAATAAAGCTGGGTTAGCTTTCTCTAGCCCGGCCGGCCAATCACGCTGTCTGTCTCTCCATGCAGAGCTTATCCAGAAACACTAAGCACTTAATGGGCACCAACTGTGTGCAGTACCTGTTCCGGGCAAGTTGGAAGAAGCACAGATGAAATTGAGCCATTGCAGCCGATTCTACCAGGAGCCATGCGGAGCCCCTAGTTCCGGTTCTGTTCTTTGGGCCTCCTGCCCAAACATCAGAAACAGCTAAAAGAGGCACCTCCTTCTCCATGTGGTCTCTCTGCCTGCCATCCTTCCCTCTGCCACCTGCCAGCATTTGTTGCCTACAGCCTGGTCAGCTTTTGGTCACTCACTGCGTCAGTTTCCTAGGGTGGCCATAACAAAGCAGCACAAACTCGGTGGCTTCAAACAACAGACATTTATTCTCCCACAGTTCTGGGGGTCAGAACCCTAAATCCGGGTGTTGGCCGGGCCGTGTCTCCGGAGGCTCTGGGGAGGTCGTCTGCTTCTTCCTGGCTTCTGGTGGTCCCTGCACTGCCTGGGGCTCCTTGGCTTACGGCTGCATCGCTCTGACCCCTGCCTCTGTCTACTGCGGCCTTTTCTCTCTGTGTCTCTGTCATGCAGTGGTCTCCCCTCGGCTTCTCTGTGTCTGTGTTCAAATTTCCCTCTTTCAAGAAAGAACATTGGTGCCCACCATAATCGAGTGTGAACTCACTTTACCTTAATTACATCTGCAAAGACCCTATTTCCAAATAAGACCATCTTCACAGGCTCCAGGTAGACATGAATTTGAGGGGACACTGCTCAACCCAGTACCTTTACCTCCTGTCCCGAGCATTTTGCATTCAGGAGTAAGCAGAGGTAGGCAGGGTCCCCTTCTGTCCTGCAAAGCATGGCCTCTGTGCTGTCCCCAGCAGCTCTGGGAGTACTTCAGCAGTGACATGTCATTGTCACAACCTGTCTGAGGAAAGGACAAGTCGGGGAGGGACCTGGGTGGGGAGTGGCATTTGTTGGACACCTACCACCTGCCACCATTACAGGGTCCTCTCATTGGCAGCTGCTGCCAGAAATGTGAGAACCCCTCGATGACAAGTTGCAGGTCTTTATTAAATACACCACGTGGCACACACTGTAGAGTCAGTGCCACTCAGCTGTCCTGGCCGGCAACTGGGCAGCAGCGTCCCTTCCTCCCTTCCTAAGGGCAGCACAGCTCTGGAGAGGGCCAGCACCTTCTGCTCAGCGCCCTGTCCTTGTGGCTTCCCAGGCAGCTGCCACCCGGGGCTCCCCTCCTGCTGTCACCTCATCACCCTGCAAGGATCAGAAAGGCTCTGGGAAAGCTGGCAGTAGGACAGGCCCCAGGGCGTGAGAG